GGAGGAGCTGGAAGAGGAGAAGGAAAAGGAGAAGGATGGTGGAAGAGAAGAAGGGTGGCAGAGGAGGAAGAGGAGGAGGAGAAAGGAGGTGGAGCTGGAAGAGAAGGAGAAGGTGGAGAAGAAGAAGGAAGATGGAAGTGGAGCTGAGGAGAAGGAGAAGGGAGGAGGAGGAAGGTGGAGATGGAGCTGGAAGACAAGGAGAAAGGAGAAGGAAGGTGGAACTGGATCTGGAAGACAAGGAGGCGAAGGAGGGTTTTAATATCCACTGGAAGAAATAAAGATCCCTATTACAATCTTTTTCAGTTTGATTAGAATTTTATATATGAGTATGAACTGTATGTTGGTCAATTTTAATGGTTTTCCCAAAGTATTTTGAGAATTGGAGTTGAAATTCCTCCATGAAGAAAGTCCAACCTTCAGAGAGTTATGGCTCACAGAGATTTTTATGGGAAGGAGTTTACAAAACCTGTCCAAGGGTCCTCCTTTGCTTGATTTTCTGCAGAAATGTGTGAAACTTTAGGAAGTCTCTAGGAGTTGTAGTTCCAGCCCATGAGGAAAGCACCAGATTAGAGAAAGCTTCAGGTAGTTCCTGGACTTTAGTGACTGTTCGAAGTTACAACAGCACTAAAAAAAAGTGACTTATGACCCTTTTCCACACTTACAACCAATCCAGCACCCCACCTGGTCAGGTAATCAGAATTTGAATGCTTGGCTACTGGCAGGTATTGATGGTGGTTGCATTGTCCTGGGGGTCATGTGATCACCTTTTGTGACCCTCTGACAAGCAAACTCATTGGGGAAAGCCAGATTCACTTAGCAACCGTGTTTCTCACTTACCAACTGCAGTGATTCATTTTACAACTCTAGCAAGGAAGGTTATAAAATGGGACAAGACTCACAACAATTGTTTCACTTATCAATAGAAATTATGGGCGTAATTGAGAAGCTGAAGCCGATCTGTATTCTAAACACTTATTGGAAAGGTATCCCCAAACCAATTAGACTCGGGCTGCTATTTTTATTCCAAAGTTGTAGCATTTCTTACAATAAAAGCACATCCTAGAATGAAATTTATAAAATTATGGGTTGGGATGGAATCTCTGTATTTTTGAGAACAGGAGACATCTGCAAAGGATGAATAAGTGATATAATGGTGAGAATTTAGTTAAAAACAAGTCAACAATTGCAGACTCCTTTTTGTATGATTTCATACCCCACCACCACCACCCAAAATTTAAAAATAAGAAATAAAAAAAAATCCCTAAGGACTTTAGTTCTTTTAAGTTCATCACTGTAAATCAATTTAATAGTGCCTGAAAGCTCCAACTCAAGAAACTGGCGTTAGTCCAGAGTGAATTAATCTGAAATTAATTTGATTTTGAAAGGCTCCATCTGGTTATGTTTGGAAAAGGCAGTTAGACAAAGAAAGAAAGATATAAACAAATGATCATCTGTATTCTCTGTGCCAGATGTTTTCTCTGTTTTCCTTTCTTTCTCCCTTTTAAAAGAACTAAGGGTATTTTTTTAAGTGATGGAAAGGGTGATGATGCAGGCTGACTCTTGAAATGGCAGTAATTTGCTTTTTACGAATGTGTTTCTTTTTTTAAAAAAAAATCAGAGGTTCTAATAGAGAAGAAATGGGAAAGAGACTTCAAGAGACATAACATTAGTAACCTTAAAAACGGAGAATTGGACAGCCGTAATCTAATTTCATTGACAAGAGTCGTGCAAAAGAAATGAGGGTTGAAATTGACAGCGTGCTCTAAAATTAGGGCATTTAAACTGAAATAAAGTGAAAGGCACATTGTCAACCTTAAGCACATGACCTGAAATCGCAATCCTTTTTTGTTCCCTCCACCTCTGAAAAGAACTGTATTATTTTCAGAAAGAGGTTTGTAAACTGCAGTTTATTAATTGCACTACAGTACTCTGATTCATGCAGCATGCAACATGCTAGGCTGTGCCACGGCTGAACCGAGCACCGAGTCCGCACCAGTGCTGACCCACTCTAAGCAAGCCATTCTAGCTTTTCACATTGTGTGAACCCTCGCTGGGCTTACGCCCCACCATTGCATACAGTAGCATGTAAGGTTCTAATGGGGAAAAGGAAAGAACTAATCTTTTAGCATTTAATTTTTATTTATTGTCTTTATATTTCAACCTGCCGTTCAGAAACATAAGGCAGCATAGCTAAGGACCAGTTTGGTGTAGTGGTTTAAGGCGCTGGCCTGGAAACTAGGAGATGGTGAGTTCTAGTTCCACCTTAGGGCATGAAAGCCAGGTGACTGACTTTGAGCCAATCAACAGGAGTCTGTGGGTTCTAGTCCCGCCTTAGGCATGAAAGCCAGCTGGGTGATTTTGGACCAATTATCAGGAAGGTGTAGGTTCTAGTCCCGCCTTAGGTATGAAAGTCAGGTGACTGACTTTGGGCCAATCACCAGAAGGCTGTAAGTTCTTGTCCTGCGTTAGGCATGAAAGCCAGCTGGGTGACTTTGAAGCACTCAACAGGAGACTGGAAGTTCTAGTTCCTCCTTAGCCAAAAGAGCCAGCTGGTTGACTTTGGACAAATCAACAGGAGACTGTGGGTTCTAGTCCTGCCATAGGCATGAAAGCCAACTATGAGCCAATCAACAGGAGGCTCCAAGTTCTAATCTCTTCTTAGGCCTGAAAGAAGGCTGGCTGGGGGATTCTTGGGTTGAAGTCTACATATATTAAAGACGCCAAGGTTGAGAAACACGGGTAGTGGACAATCTTGACCTAGTCGCCTATTTTATTCTTATCTCCTTTCTCTATCAAAAGGTAGATTTAAAACATTTCGTCAAAAGCCAGATTTTCCCAGAAATCTTCCTCAAGCGGAAAAACCAGGAATGAATGAATCTTTCCAGAATCTCAGCAACCAGATTATTTTTCATTTTAGAACCCAATTTATCCTCCCCCCTTAAGGTGTAGATTTTTATTAATAGCCTTTCGTCAATCAGCAAGGATCAGCACTTCCTTTCTTACCTCACTCCCAGAATTTCCCAAACAACTAATAACAGATAATCAGAGTTAGAAGGAATTTTGTAAGTCATTTAGTCCAACCCTCCTCCACCCAACTATTAAAGTTGTCAAGTTTGGAGACCCAAAGGTGGGATGTTCATTTGTTTTTGGACTTTTCTTTTTTTTTACCTTGAAGACATTTTGCTTCTCATCCAAGAAGCTTCTTCCATTCTCAACCTTCTTGGATGAGAAACAAAATGCCTCCAAGGGGGAAAAAAAAAAGCGAAGAAAATTCCAGTTGCCTTTTTGAAAAGCACTTTTGGGGCAGCTATGACCTGGAGGGCTGAGAATCTCCATAGACATCGAGTTTGGAGATCTCTTGCATTAGTATAAGGTCTTGGAAGTTCTGGCAATCACATCTCTGCTGCATTTGACCAAAGGAAAATTAAATTTAAGGTTTTTATTTTTTTTTTTTAAAAAAATCTGCTTAAACTGGGATTAGCAACCCATGTTAATGTATTACTACGACCGCCACCCCTACGTGGAATAGCTGCATTTTCTTGCTTTCTGTAATCCCACGTCGGTTCCCCATTTCTCCTTGTATCGCATCTTTGAAAACTCGCCATCAACTCAGTGCTACAGTCATTTCTGGAATCATTACCAAAATGAGAGCATTGTCCCTACTTTTAACTGGAGCTGGATGCGTCCATCCTTTTGCCTGCTTTTAACTCTCTTCCCCCTTTCATCTCACAAGTCGTCGTGTTGTTTTGCTTCTTTTGATACTCGCCATTTCGTCCCATTTCTGGAGCTTTCAAATAGAGCCAGCAGTGAAAACGAGGACACAATTGAGTGAGCCTTCTGCTCCCTTTCCATGTCTGCTTCCATGTGAATTCACCCGTTAAAGCCATAAGAATTCCCTTCCATATCCCTGGCAGTTTTTGTGGTTTTTTTTAATGAAAGGACACAGGCTTATTTTCACGCATGGGTCATCCTCCACTTACAAATATTTGTTTGGTGATTGCTCAAAGTTACAGCGGCACTGAAAAAGTGACTGATGACCGTTTTTCACACTTAGCACCGTTGCATTGCCCTTCACATGATTAAAAAAAAAGACCAGTGGAACAACTTGCCTCCAGAAGTCATGAATGCTCCAACACTGGAAGTTTGTTAAAAATGTTGGATAACCAGTTGTCTGAAGTGGTGTAGGGTTTCCTGCCTAGGCAGGGGGTTGGACTAGAAGACCTCCAAGGTCCCTTCCAACTCTGTTATTCTATTCTATTGTCAGATGGGGAGATGAGGATAACAGCAATACAACCTTACAACATGGGTAACTGTCCTTAGGCATAAAACAGTGCTGAGGGAAATGTGTATTTAGCAGAGTGATGGCACAGGGGTAAAAACTGTCTTTGTGTCTAGTTGTTTTGTCGTGCAATGCCCTATAGCAGGGGAGGAGTTGAAACAGTTTGTGTCCAGGATGTGAAGGGTCTATAGATATTTTCTCAGTCCTCCTTGTGACCCATGCAGTATACATGGGTCCTTGATGGAAGGCAAGCTGGTTGCAATGTTTTTTTCTGCAGTCCTAACTTATCCGTTGAAGTCTCTACTTGTTCTGTTTGGTTGCTGTGCCAAATCAGACAGCCACAGAGGTACAGATGTCAGACTCTATAATTCCTCTGTAGAACTGCATTAGCAGATCCTTGGGCAATCTGAGCTTTGTGAGTTGATGCAGGAAGAACTGAGTTTGTTGTGCCTTTTTAATGAAGGTTTTAAGGTTGGGGGTCCATTTGATGTCCTAGGGGATTATTGAACCCAGAAACCTGAAGGTCTCTATGGTTGATACCACGTTGCCTAATATTGTAAGGCGTGGTAGGATTCTTACTGTAGGTAAAGGTGTGGGTCATTCTGCTGTAGACCCATTAAATTTGTGAAGGGAACATTGCTTATTCTAGTCTATTCAATGCAGACGCCTCCCAAAAATGCCCCTTTCTGTAACCCCCTTCCTTCTCTCTTGTGTTTTCCAGCAACGGCACAGCTAACAAAATGAATGGCGCTCTGGATCATTCAGACCAACCAGACCCTGATGCCATCAAGATGTTTGTTGGACAGATCCCCCGCTCGTGGTCGGAAAAAGAATTGAAAGAACTTTTTGAGCCTTACGGAGCTGTTTACCAGATCAACGTTCTCCGAGATCGGAGTCAGAACCCACCCCAAAGTAAAGGTAAGGGCATGTTGACACCCTGGACCAGAGGTCTCCATACTTGGCAACTTTAAGACTTGTGGACTCCCAGAATTAGCTGGCTGAGGAATTCTGGGAGTTGAAGTCCACAAGTCTAAAAGTTGCCAAGTTTGGAGACCTATGCCCTGGACTATAGAGGGGTTCTTATTGAGTAGATGGGCTTCTTCTGTGATTAGTTGTAAGTTTTCTCAGTGCCTCTCAGGATTTGGAAACTTGTTCCTATATCCAACCATCTGCTAAAATTGATACAGAAAGAGACTAATATTTGTTATTTGGTAAAACATTACCAACTGGGTAACATGAATGCTAGAAGGGAATGGGGATTGTTTAGTTATTTTCTTGCATGTGTTTCATTGACCAATTAGGTAACATCATCTGTGCTTGAAGGAAGTGGGGTTTGCGCTCAGTTTATTTTCAAGTATCTTGCCCTGACAGTTTTTGTGGACACTGGAGAATTCCTGTAAGACTGCCACTCAGACAAAATCCGCCATCAACAGTCACATAGAGATAAACTACATCTACACACTTTTCAAAAGACACAATAAAAAGCCCAAAAGGAAACAAAAAGAACAGAACATGTTCTTTCTAACAATCAACACTCAGATAAGCAGAGATCAAAGAATAGAATAGAACAGAACAGAATACTTTATTGGCCAACTGTGACATGCTTTCAAACTGCTAGGTTGCCAGAAGCTGGGACAAGTAACAGGAGCTCCCTCCATTACGCGGTGCTAAGGATTCGAACCGCCGAACTGCTGACCTTTCTGATCAACAAGCTAATCAAGGAATCACCAAGGATATTCCCTCCAATGCTGACAGGGCAAGCCCTCTGTATATAGCAGAGAGCCAACCCACTCCTTTCTACCCCTGATGATGTTAGCCAATTGAGTAATGAAATTCAGTCTGCAAGAAAAGATCAAAGCTCAGAGAGCACCAAGGACCCCACAGTTGGACCCTGAGCTACAAATATTCTCTTCTCTTTTTATCTCTGGTGGCTGTCCCTCCAACCTTTGCCTGGTTTCATACGTGACTTCCTTGTCTTCCAGCTTGCTTACTTGTGGCTTTCTCCTCCGCCATCCAGGTCATTGGTCATTCTACCCCATCAACTTCTCCAAACAGTTTAGTTCACGTTACACTTTTCCTTCTACAAGCTTAGCAAGTTCAGCAGATGGAAACGGAGGATGCAGTCGGTTCAAAGACCAGTGCGATTTTTCTAAATAGCATATCTGGGTTTGTTCACATCTGATCAGACATGGTTCTAAATCCTGGCTTGCAAACCCATGGTGATCTAAGCCTTCTCGAGTCGAAATTTGTGACGCCGTGCCAGAAGTCCGCTTCTTTAAAATGAGGTTTGCAACGGAACGTCTGTGAGGTAGATTTCACCACAGAGAGGATTTGAACGAGGGTCCGCAATTGTCAAAGCTGTGCATTCCTAATTTGGCCCTCCGCATGCAAACATCTTGAATTTCGTGGCCGTCTCTATTTCAGGACGTTTTGATTACTCGCCTTGGGTTATACTCAATTTCCTCTAGCTATGCTTAGCTACAGCCAGGAGGGAGGAAAAAGAGAATATCTTTCAGCATCAAACTGGTTTCTTTTTTGTTATAATATTTTTTAAATTTTTTATATACAATAAATCCATCCTGTTTCAACTATGTGTCGATTAGGTACACATTTCATGTGCTTACAGTTTATCGTTTATCACTATAACAACATAACAATAATCACATTTTCATATAAGTAATATCCAATGGGTCTATTTTTACAATCTTCTCTTATTGCTATTATATACTCATCTAATCCATTTTAATTTGTTTTATTTTCTAACCCTTGGTAAATACCATGTAATATTCAGATTCTTCTTTTTTTTAATTTCCAATATTAATCTATTCATTTCTGCACATTCAGATATTTTTTTTCAATTATTTTTCCCTCTATCAGTATCTTGGAGAATCAAACGGCTTCTAAGGGATCTCAGAGCTTTCCGTCTAAAAACTTTAAAACTACCAGCTGTTCCTTGCTTTTCTGTTGGTCCTCCTGGCTTGTCACCTTCTCTTTTCTCAAATTACCGATGCCTTCCTTCGCTTCTTGACTTTCTGCACCACTGCTGACTCTTTCCTGACTTCTCCTAAACTTCCGGGAGGCCCGTTTTTCAGCCTCCGTGTGCAACCTGCACTTACCTGCATCCAAAACGGGCCACCTTGGGATTCCTGGGAGGGGTGGGGCGGGGTAGACGGGCCATCCAGGAGCGGAATTTTGGGGGAGGGTTTCTCTGAACTGCACAGAATCTTAGCTGGGAGCTCTCCCAAACCCTTGCGAACCCCCCAGCAGCCCAGCCCTGGGCTCTATGAGAAATGAACAGGTCTTCCACATTCTTTTAATCTTCTTTAGTTTCACATTTGCAGCAAATACAATATCTGTGCAGATGGCCAAGCAATCTCAAGGCAGCAACACAATTCCCCACCCCCCCAAGGAGTAGGTCATTGTCCTGAACAAAATTCTGCTTCTCTTCTCCCAAGACATCCCAGCAATTTTGGAGTTAAATACTTGGACATCTCGCTCTTTGAACAGAGCAGGGATTTTTCAGACTCTGCGTCCCAGCTGCAGCTTGTTTCATAATTGACAGAGCACAATATTGATTGCGGGCTTATTAAAACCACATGCACATTTTTTGTAACGAACGAGCTGTGCAACACAAACCGAAGCTGATCTATTGAAGTCTTTCTCCACCATCAATGTCCTTGTCCTTCATTTAGGGCCAATTAGTCCTATCTATTTATCTGGTTGTTAAAGAAAGCCGAAAATGGAATAGAAGAGCTGGAATTTTTGAGTTTTTTTTTTTTTTACTAGGTACAGTTTATTGCCATTCAAATTCATTGCCCTCGCCCTAGTTTTTACTTTACAGCCGTGTTTCTCAAACATGGCCTCTTGAAGAAGATGTGTGGACTTCAACGCCCAGAATTCCCCAGCTGGGATACTCAAACCTGTTGAGAAACACTGCTCTATTTCAGGGGTCTCCAACCGTGGCAACTTTAAGCTTGGTAGACTTCAACTCCCAGAATTCCCCAGCCTAGCTTGGCTGGCTGGGGAATTCTGGAAGTTGAAGTCCTCCAGGCTTAAAGTTGCCACGGTTGGAGACCCCTGCTCTATTGCATAAAACCTGCTAGATTATTTTTCAGTGCCCCCAATCCAAGGAGTATCCTACTTTCCAGCTCTTCGCTCTTGACCGATGAGGTTTGAACCAGAAAGATATAGAACTGCTGGCCAAGTAAAGTAGTTAAGAGTATTGGCTGACTATTAGAAGCACATCTTATCTGACAATGGAGATCAATAGCGTTTCACTCTCTGAGCAAATGGCTTCTTAAAAACAGAAAGAAAGAAAATATCAGTACTAAGATGGGTTTGTCAGGAGGGAGAGAAATGAAAAAAAAAAAAAAAACATCCTTGAAATGTTGAAAAGGAGTTCATCTTAATGCTGGATAGAAATTATCCTTGAAGGAGAGTTTTTAAAAAGAGGAAAAAAGAAGACATTTCAAGGCGAAGGATGCTTTGAAAAGGGGTTCTTTGGATTAGGAGAGCCACAGATGTCATGGAGAAAAGAAAAGCGAGGCCTTGGGGGAAAAAAAACTGTGGAAAAATAGCTCATGGAAGCTGAAATATATTCAGAATAAGGCAAAAAAGAAGACAAGTTAATATGGATAACATATCCACAGGAAAGCAAGCATAAATAAATCCTGCCTTAGCCAAGAAAGCCAGGGAGTGATTTTGGGCCAATCACTGGGAGACTGAAAGCTCTAGTCCCGCCTTAGCCCAAAAAGCCGGCTGGGTAACTTTGGGCCAATTACTAGGAGACTATGAGTTCTAGTCCTGCCTCAGGCATGAAAGCAGGCAGGCAGGCAGGCAGGAAAGAAGGAAGGAGAAGTTGAGGGAGGGGGGGAGGAAAGGAAAAGGAGGCAGGGAAGGAAGGAAGGAAGGAAGGAAGGAAGGAAGGAAGGAGAAGTTGAGGGAGGGGAGAAGGAAAAGAAAAGGAGGCAGGGAAGGAAGGAAGAAGTTGAGGAAGGGGAGGAGGAAAGGAAAAGGAGGCAGGGAAGGAAGGAAGGAAGGAAGAAAGGAAGGAAGGAAGGAAGGAGAAGTTGAGGGAGTGGGGAAGGAAAGGAAAAGGAGGCAGGGAAGGCAGGAAGGAAGGAAGGGAAGGAAGGAAGGAAGGAAGGAGAAGTTGAGGGAGGGGAGGAGGAAAGGAAAAGGAGGCAGGGAAGGAAGGAAGGAAGGAAGGAGGGAGGGAGGGAGGGAGGGAAGGAAGGAAGTTGAGGGAGAGAGGAAGGGAAGGCAGGCAGGCAGGATGGATGGAAGGGAGGGAGGGAGCAGTACATTTCCCTTTGGTTGTTTTTATATTTCCCCTGGACCTTATTCCCCTTGTAGCCCAGTATCTATGGTTTTAATTGGCACATGTTGGTCTTTGACATCACAGATTAAACTTGATAGTGCATAAATGCACGATTTCTGGAAAGCAGGGAAGAGCCATGGATTCCGCAAGCCCACACCACACAGCTTTCTGAGGGGGTCACCATGTCTTGTCCAAGAATAAAATTAAGCACCAAGAGAAAGGGATTTATATAATCAGGGCTGCCTTTAAAGAATTAACACTGCGTGATTTATACTTGGAGCAATAAATGAACTGTAAATTGTTTGTCTGGCATGTTTCACTCTTGTTTCTTTTAATGAATCTACCCAATTAGCGATCTTTAGGGCAGATACTATAGACCCATGATTAAATTTTTAATTATGTTTAAACTGTAAAACAAACAGTTGTACACAGTAATTTAAAGCAAACATCGGTTGAGGATGGAAGAACAGAGGCAAAATCTTCAGAGTATATAACCATGTCCTTCCGTTGGCTCTCAATGAATCGTTAGGATCTGTGTGAAGAACTGTACAGGAAGTCCTCGACTTAAGACAACAATGGAGTCCAACATTTCTCTTGC